TGCTCCACAGCCCCAACTGATCATCTGTCCCTTTTCTCCCTTCAGGGTCAAATTAGGGTTTTATAGTTAATTCAGATGGAGTTAAGAACTGGCTTTTTGAACTAGACAGTCTTGATTGGGGCTTTTTGTTTGTTTCTGGGTTTTTTTTGTTTTGTTTGTTTTTTGCTTGTTTTTGTTTTTTGTTGTTTTGTCTTGTGCTCAGGCAGGGCTTCCCATGTTGCTGAGGCTGGCAGAGATTTCACCTCCAGAGTGTTGGGACTATAGGAGCCTACTAGAAGACCCCCGGGTTCATTCTTGTTTTTGTTTCCTAACAAAATTGTATCTTAACATAGATTATTTTGGGGTGAGACTCATGACATTGAAAAGCTTCTGCACAGAAAAAGGTAATCACAAGTGAAGACAGACTACAGACTGGGACAGAATCTTAGCTTGCTGAACATCTGACAGAAGATTAATATCTAGATTGTACAAAGAACTAAAAACCTAAATATCAAGACACCCAATCCAGGCAAAGAAGTAAATGGAACAGATAGTCCTCAAAAGACAAAGTACAAACAGTCAATAAACACGGAAAAGACGCTCAGCTTCGGCAGCCACCAGAGAAAGACTGAACACGCCACCCTGAGCTTCCACCCCCCGCCCCCCAGTCAGCATGGCAGCGCTTCCAAAAGCAAACCAGAGCTCAGGTGAGGACGTGTCAGCGTTACGAATACCAGGACAAGCTCTGCTTTTCCTCACACACACTGCTGGTGAGGAAGTGAACCGGAAGGGAGATCAGATCTACCATAAGGTCCAGCTGTACCATTCCCAGGATGACGGGAGGGACTCCACACCAGCCTGACACAGAGACACTTGCACACCAGTGTTCACTGCAGCTCTACTCACAGTAGTAGCTAAGTGATGGAGAGGACGTAGGTGTCCAACAACAGGGTAAAGAAAATGTGGTGTGCACACAGTGAAGTTTTCTCAGCCGTAAAGATGAAGTTACGTTGTTTACAGGAAAATGGATGGAGCTGGAGATAGTCTTATCAAGTGAATCCAGCCATGCTTTCGCTCACTTGTGATTCCTAGGATGTACATAGGTACATACAGTTGTGTATGTACACACCATGTGAACGTGCAAGCAGGGGCTGGAGAGACGCTCAGCTCAGCCAGTAAAGAACTTGCTGTGGGGCATGAGGATGTGAGTTCCATCCCCAGCACCCAGTAAAAATTCAAAAAGCAGATGTCTGGGGTGGTGCAGGGGTGGGGTGGGGTGGGGATGGGGAGGTGTAAAGTGTTTGTTACAAATTCAAGCTGTAACAATAAATATAATTTCTTATGCATCTTTGAAGTTAACATCCTGTAAAATGTATCTATATGTATTACCGACATTATAAATTCACTAAATGTGCATCAGCCTATGGTTTTAGGAAACCTGGATGATCTGACTAAATGCTATTTTTATCAACCATTTCCCTGCAAAATATATACTTCAAGATTCTTAGCATCACACTTAATGACCACAAGACAGGAGGGCTCTTTGATTGCCAATCAAAACAAGGTTTCAGCACTAACTTCTAACCACAGTGTAACTCACCATGATGAATTTTATATGCCTTCCCCCCCCCCTTTTTTTTCTCAAGACAGGGTTTCTCTGTTTAACAGCCCTGGCTGTCCTGTAACTCGCTCTATAGACCAGGCTGGCCTCAAACTCACTGAGATCCATCTGCCTCTGCCTCCCTGGCACTGGGATTAAAGGCCTGCGCCACCATCACCTGGTGAATTTTACATTTCTAGCCCCAATCCTAATTGCTGCTGAACCATCTGGCAATCTGTTATTAGTATAAATTGCATCACTGTATAGATCTTCATAAGTTGTGACTAGTTTGGATCACTTGCATATTGCTTTGTAAAACAAATACACTTAGTGGTTTCAAAGTAATTAATTAAATAAACAAAACAGATGCTCCTCGGTTAAAAAGAAAAAAGAGGGCCTGGAGAGATGTCTCAGAGGTTAAGAGCACTGCCTGCTCTTCCAGAGGTCCTGAGTTCAACTCCCAGCAACCACATGGTGGCTCACAGCCATCTCTGGTGGAATCTGATGCCCTCTTCTGGCATAAAGTTGTACATGCAGATAAAGCACTCATATACATAAATAATAAAAATATTTAAAAAACAAAACATTTAAAAAAAAAAAAGAAAAAAGAAAGAAAATGTCCTTATTTAACATAACCCCAAGGACAATGAATATGCCCGATGGATGGAAACTACAGAGAAAACGATTTTTTACCACAGATAGACTTAGGAGGGTTCACGGCTCAATCACGATCTTTCAGCTTTACGGCGGCTGTACTCTCTGTGACATCAAATTTCAAAGGTTAACTTCAGCATTTTTCTGTCTGGTCAGCCGCAGCTTCCAGCGAGCACAGCAGACCCCGCCTCACTGTGTGGCTGTGGTGTTAGGTAGGGCGGGTAGGTCACATGCATTGCGGCTCACCAGGCTCTCAGTTGTAATGGCATCACAGGGGCACGATCCCGCTGTAGGCAGGAGCATGTGTGGGATGGGCCCTGGGGGACTTTTTAACAGCTCCGTATTTTGTCCAGTGTTGGCTTTCCACCCATCCCATAAATTTAAGATAGAATGTGCCATCTTCCTAAGTGAATTACCTACATATTCCTCATTAATCTCAGATACATTTCACAAAGATCAGCCAAATTGGAAGAGAGCAGAACAAAATGTGAGGGGGGAGGGTGCAGAATAAGCTAAAAAAAATTTTATGTTATCAATATAACCAAATAGAGAATCCAAATGCATAGCCAAGTACATACATGAATTTATGATATAAATTTAGGCCAGTGAGGGAAATAATGAGTTATTAAACAATAGAACAGAATAACTCATTAACTATTTGGGAAAAGCAATTAGGCTGTGTTGTGACCTCAGTTCTTTCTCAAGCCAAAGTAAACTGAGGTAAAGATTTAAATGTAAAAGGTACAGCCATAAGAGTCTACCGAAAGGACTGGAACATGGCGTTCCCCGGCAGAGCACCTGCCTGGCATGTGTGCAGAGCACTGGGCCCGGTCCTTAGCCCTGTCACCGCCATCTCCTCCCACCCAAGCTACTAGAAAGTGCTATGGGTGGATATAAGTGTGGCATGAGAGAGATCTTTCCAAACACCTCATGGAGCCTAAAGGCCATAGGGGTGGCAACCAATGTGACATGTAAAGGGATCTCAGAATCACGAAGGGCTGTTTGCTTGAAAACTCTGCAGCTCCCTAGAAAAGGGAGCAGATACAGGAAACAGATGAGCCAAGAAAGCAGTTATTAATATAAAGATTACTCATGTCTAGAGTTGGCAATGATTTAAAAAGTGAGCAGGAAGGAGGCTGATGAAGGAGTAAGACACCTGCCCTCATTGTGGGTAGACCATCAACTAGTGCCTGGCTTCTGGAGGGGCACTGTGTAGGAATAATGGCAATTTCTAAGTATTTGATTTGATATACTAATGACCCTTCATGGATCGACCTGAAGGAAATAATTACCCAAATTTGAAAATACCCATACACAAAGATACTCATTACAGTCTTGCTGTTTTAAAAATCTGAACAATTTAGTCAATCCTAAAATCATCACCAGAAGACCCTATTATTCTGAAAACCAATATCATTTACGTTAAAGCTCTGAATTTTATGACTCTGAAAACAGGCTCCAAACAGCATGTGGTAGACTACACACTGCACACAGTCAACAGCACTGACAATCCTCTGCGTGCACGGTCAAGAAGATACGCTCAGGACGTGATGCTGCTTCCTTTTATTTATAAAGTTCATGAGTGTGACTTAAACTCTGTCAGGCACAGTATCTAACACCTTTCATCACAGCCCTGGGGACACGGAGACAGGTGGATGTGTTCAAGGCCAGCCAGGTCCACCTGGTGAGGTCTTATCTCAGTTAAAAAATAAAGCTTATACTTTCATTTAACACCTGTAAAGCTGTCTAGAAAGATGTTATTCGGTGTTAAGAGAGGGTCCTACCAATGAAGGAAAGGGTTTTGTTGTTGTTGTTGTTGGTTTTTCGAGACAGGGTTTCTCTGTGTAGCTTTGGAGCCTGTCCTGGATCTCGCTCTGTAGACCACGCTGGCCTCGAACTCACAGAGATCCACCTGCCTCTGCCTCCCGAGTGCTGGGATTAAAAGCGTGCACCACCACCGCCCAGCCAATGAAGGAAATTTGAAAGAGGATCTTTTCCATTAGTATTTTCCTATAATGTTTGAATCTTAAAAATATGCAATTATGGGCCAGGTATGGTGGTGTACATCTTTAATCCCAGCACTTGGGGTAGGGTTGGGGTAGGCGGTGAATATCTGTGAACTAAGCCTAGCCTGGTCTACATAGTAAGTTCCAGGCTAGTCAGAGCTACGTAATTAGACCTGCATTATGATCACTAAGACATTAAAGCTAATGCCGAAGGGATGAAAGATGAAAAATGATGCCTAGCACTGATTCTCTAGGATTGTTTTCTTAACCAAAGAAACAGTTGATCTGGAACTCATTTTGGAAGATAACTTCTAAACGCACCAAGAGAAGAACTTTTCACACCGTAGCACCAGAGTCCCCTACGTGGCTTTTGACCAGGGATCCAGGCAGCACCCTCACCACTACCCCACCTCAACCCAACAAGTCAGTAAGTCATCTCTGGGGCTGGAGAGACCAGCGTTTGTCCCAATCACTCCGAACACACAAACGTCCATGTGCGTCTGGATACCGCTGATCCAGGGTGGCACAAAGAAAAGATTAGGCCGTTCACCTGCGTCATTCAGATCTGCGTTACAGTCACGCTCTCCCCGCGCGTCCTTTGTTTCCGCACCTGTTTTCCCACAACCTACAAGATCTGAAAGCAAGGTGAACTGACAGCATCGGATGTCGGCTCTTTCAGGGATTAATCCGTTCAGGAGCCCCCTCCACCCCGCAGAATGAGATCCATAGCAACCGGCGCTCTCGCTCCGGTCCCAGCTTACTTGGTACTCGGATTCTTGATGAAGCCCGTGTTGATGAAGTTAGGACAGAGACACGATGTTTTGACGCCGGTTCTTCCCAGGGCAGCCAGCTCGTCAGTCAAGGCTCTGTGGAAGCCAACAGCAGCAAACTTGCTGGAACTGAAAGAAGGCAGTTTACAAGTGGATTCAAGAACACTGTGGTCCTGCGGTTAGGCGAGCTCTTCTGACCAGACGCGGGGGCACCCCTCCTCACAGGCCTGGGGTAGATTTAGTGGCCCAGAGCAGCACAAAGGTAAATTCCTAGGCACGGGAAAGCCACGGGCACATGGCACACAGTAGTTCCTACGTGTCACATCCCTAATCGGCTGGATTTCGGCGCATTAAGTGAGCTGACAGGAGACTCGTGGACCGTTCGCTTTCACTACTGCTGTTTCCATAAGCTCCAGGTCACTGTAAATCTGTTCATTGTCTATTCTAAAACAGTCATGGGATTCAGTGGGAAGCTCTTCTGTACGCACCCATTCTTCCTTTCAGTCACAGCTTAGCTTCCTCAGGGTCTCCCCCCTCCCACCCCCCACCCCCCATTATACAACACTCTTAAGCTTTCTAGGACAGAATGTTTCAGATTTGTAATGAAACATTGACTGTGTTTAATTTTTTTGTATATATAATTTAAAAAAATTACCTGTTCCTGAAACTGTATGCATGCATGTGTGTGTATGTGTGTCATGTGTATATATTTGTGTCAAGGCAAGATTTTAACATTGATTTTTTTTATTATTATTATTAATGCACTTCACCTTGTTTTTTGAGACAGGGTCTCTCTCTGAACCTGAAGTTTGCCCATTGGCTACACTGGCTGGTCAGCAAGCCCCCGGGATCCTCTCTCTGCCTGTCCAGGGCTGGAATGTAGGCGTAGGCTTGTGCTGCTGGGCTGGCTTGCCAGGGAGGCAGGGGGATCTGAACTCCGTTCCTGAGTTTGTGTGGTCAGCCCAGCACTTGACTGGCGGTACCTCCCCCAAGTTCCTTTTCTCTTACACCTTTACTATCCTCTCCGTGACTATATTGGTGACAAATGAGTCACCAGGGCCTCGCCTAGGACTGGCTTCTTAATAGGTACTCAGTAAATATTTGTCAAATAAACGAATCATGGTGCAAAGCAATTCTTACAAAAACATCTTCGTTGGGAAATATTGCGAAACTACTCTAAATGGAATTTTATTTTTCCAGGTAGCTTTAAAAAGAGCTTTATTGAAATATAAAGTATATAATACTTTAAATTTTATATTAAAGCATATAATACTTTATATTTTATATTAAAGTATATAAAGTTATATAACTCAATCATTTGTTGGTATCTTACATTACTAATTTAAAAACTGTCATAAGAGACATGTAACATAAAATCTGTCACCTCAAGTGTTTAGTTCAGTGATATTAATAACCATATGGTTTATGCTTTTAAATCTCTATGAATAAGAAATTAGACAAGGTCTCCATACATGCTTGTTAATTAAGTTGTACTTTGAAAAACAGAAAGCTGTAGGGAGTTTTCTTTTTCTTTTTTTTTTAAGCCTAGAAACACACTGCACTGTAAATGAAATACTGTTGGTTTTAGTGATGAGTTGGAAAGCCTTGGTACACTGAAAAACGTCACAAATAAAGGTGTTAACATCTAAGACTAATTAATGTAGGGCAGGAGCTGCTCCCGCTAATCAGATGCTTTCTTTCATTTAAACTTCACAACAACTCCGTGACGTAGGTGTTTTCATGAGTGTGGTTTACCAGAGCGGAAGTCAAGGTTTGAGACGCAAAGGACAGTGATAGAACCAAACTGGGAACGGGAGTGAGAGCCGCTGGCCGCCGGAGGGGCGGAGGGGTGGCGCGGCTCGGCAGAGAGGCGGAAGGGCGGAGGGGCGGAGGGGTGGCGCGGCTCGGCAGAGAGCACTTGCTGTTCTTACAGAGGCCCGGGGTTCAGTTCTCAGCACCCACATGGCTGCTCACAGTTGTCTGTAACTCCAGTTGCACGGGATCGAACACCCTCTCCTGGCCTCCCCAGGCACCAGGCTCACATGTGGTGCACATACAAACAGGCAGGCAAAACATTCACACACAAAAACTAAAAATAAAAAAACCTTTTTTTTAAAAAAAAGTAATCAATAACTCAGACCCAAATATCCTACAACCTAAAGGTGATATGCTTCTGTCCAAATCATCAAGTAAAAAACAAAAAACATGGGGCTGGAAAGATGACTTAGCAGTTAAGAGCACTGACTGCTCTTCTAGAGGACCTGGGTTCAACTCCCAGCACCCACATGGCAGCTCACAACTGTCTGTAACTCCAAGATCTGACACCCTCACACAGAGATACATGCACACAAAACACCAATGCACATAAAATAAAATAATTTAAACAAACAAACAAAAACCCCAAAACCCAAAAAACACAAATGGCTGAACATCTGCAACACATAAACAAGAGAAAAAGTTAAAATATAACAGCTTGGGCAAGGGGCCTCTCTTAGTGTGGAGTGCTGGCCTGGCATGTGGGAGGTACTGAGTTTTGATCCTCAGTGCTTCAAAACAAAACTTATTGAAAAAAAAAAAAAAATGCAAGCTTTAAGAACTAATAAGAGACTGGCAGTGGTGGTGCACGCCTTTAATCCCAGCACTCCGGAGGCAGAGGCAGGTGGATCTCCGTGAGTTCGAGACCAGCCTGGTCTACAAAGCAAGTTCCAAAACCAAAAAAAAAAAAAAAAAAAAACTAATAAGAGGCTTGTTCCAATAGAAAAAGACTCAAGAAAATTAGAAGAAAAGCCACAAAATAAAATATCAACAGAAACAGACGTATAAACCTGCTCATTTCGGTCATAACCCATAGAATATACACACTAGCATTTTTCTCTAATAAGTAACGGTCAAATAATGTGAGAATTCATATTTTCTCAGTTTGTCTTTCAACATACAGGTGGATTTCCTCATATTGAGCCTAACCATCTTTTAAACTCTTTAAATAAAGAGCTTTTAAAATAAATTGAGATTAAAACAAACCTGTCAGAGCTTTCTGTTTTCTGAAGCATGGGTTAAACCAGCCCTATGTGAAAGGCAGTTTGACAAGGGTGTCGAATTCATTGAAGTTGAACAAATCCACGGTGCCCTCCTCCTTGATTCGGTCACGGCCAAGAGTTTACACCACAGAAACCATCAATTGTGTTTCTAAAGGTTAACGTTGGGGTAAAGCTCATGAAAGTGAACAGCGAGAACGATTTAAATAGTCTGAGATGGGCGGCGTTGGATCCCGCACTCTGGTCACACCAGTTATCAAGCAGTCAAATCTGTACCATTGGATCCAAGCGGGTGTCGGCACTGAAGCCTAGAACTCACTTGTCTGAAGGCACTTTGGGGACGTGATGGTCTTGCTGAGCTTGAGGTTTATACGGGTCGGTTGACCTGCTGGTGGCTAATCCTCAAGAGGGAGGAAACCTGCCAGAGATTGCCTCTGGCTCCTCCCTGGGTCTGGAGTTTTGTTATTTCTGGTAACTGAAAGAATCCTGAGAAAGTCTTGACAATAATGAATAATTGAGTAGTGCCACACATGGTATCACGTCACAGAAAATGGAAATGATGCTGGCGGGCTGGGTGTGGTGGCGAACGCCTTAATCCCAGCACTTGGGAGGCAGAGGCAGGTGGATCGCTGTGAGTTTGGGGCCAGCCTGGTCTACCAAGTGAGTTCTAGGACAGCTAGGGCTACAAAGAGAAACCCTGCCTCAAAAAAAGAAAAAGAAAGAAAGGAAGGAAGGATGAAAGGAAGGAAGGAAAGAAGGAAGGAAAGAAGGAAGGAAGGAAGGA